CACGTAAGTTTCAGCTTTTCTGGCCCAGTGGTTCTTGAGAAGAAGATTTTGAAAGATTTTTCCTATATATTTCTATGTAAAAATTTGATTCCTTATTGTGGCCCCACCCTACCCCCGGGGGGTCATAATTTGAACAATTTAGAATCTACACTACCCCAGGATGCTTCCACATAAGTTTCAGCTTTTCTGGCCCAGTGGTTCTTGAGAAAATTTTCAAAGATTTTTCCTTTTTATTTCTATGTAAAACTTTGATTCCCCATTGTGGCGCCACCCTACCCCCAGGGGTCATGATTTGAACAATTTAGAATTTACACTACCCAAGGATGCTTCCACATAAGTTTCAGCTTTTCTGGCCTAGTGGTTCTTCAGAATATTTTCAAAGATTTTTCCTATTTATTTCTATGTAAAACTTTGATTCCCCATTGTGGCCCCACCCTACCCCCTGGGGTCATGATTTGAACACTTTAAAATCTACACTACCCCAGGATACTTCCACATAAGTTTCAGCTTTTCTGGCCCAGTGGTTCTTGAGAAGAAGATTTTGAAAGATTTTTCCTATATATATTTTTATGTAAAACTTTGATTCCCCATTGTGGCCCCACCCTACCCCCGGGGGTCATGATTTGAACAATTTAGAATCTACACTACCCCAGGATGCTTCCACATAAGTTTCAGCTTTTCTGACCCAGTGGTTCTTGAGAAGAAGATTTTTTAATGACCCCACCCTTTTTTGTCTTTTCTTGATTATCTCCCCTTGTGAGGGGACTTGGACCTTCATTTTAACAATTTAAATTTCCCTTAACCCATGGATACTTTGTATTAAGTTTGGTCAAAATTGGCCCAATGGTTCTTGAGAAGAAGTCGAAAATATGAAAGATGGACAGACAGACAGACAGACAGCTAGACGGACGACGGACAAAATGTGATCAGAAAAGCTCACTTGAGCTTTCGGCTCAGGTGAGCTAAAAATCTTTCGAATATGCTAACTTTTGAAAATTGACTTAGAGGTAGGCGGGAAAACTTTATCGTTCGCAGTTCTTTTACCCCTTCAATGCGCTTCATTGTCAACAGCGAGAAAGCACGTATTCGACCGATGCATTTGTTATGGGAACTCCAATAAACATGATAAATTCATAATTATGTACAAATTTGTTGAAATACGTGTTTTACAGGAGAGAGACTCTAACTCTCTCTTTTAACTCTAAAAATCTCCAGTTCAGTGTAACTCATATGTTGCTAGTAGCAAAGCTAAAGATGAATATCAATTTTCTTTCTCCTTTCTCATCCCCTACTAATGTGTTCGGAACCTTTAATTTTTTGGTGTTCTGCAAATAATAAAACCCGATGAGTTCAGAGTAGATCTGGCGGTGGCTCTGGCGAGGGTTAGCGAGACTACAGCGAGATAGGGTAAATTATTCACGGAAATGTGGCTAGGAGACATGGTAAACAGAAAAGTTATGTTGAGTTTCAGTTTTCACCACCCCATAATATCTGTAGAAATGTACTTCAATCGATCTCTCTTGGATTCATTTAAGGAATGAATTTAAGGTAAGGTTTGCGTCTCCCTCCAACTCATATTTTTTTTAATATGCACACATACTATATATCAATTTATTCAGGGAGATTAGCTTCATCATTTAATATGATTTTCAAAGATATTCCCCGTCCCATTTTTTAAGTAAAAGACGCCAAATTTAACGTATTTCATATTTCACCTCGAATATTATTTTCATTGAAAATTTTGATTTATTTTATAAATCATCAAACTTTTATAATTAAAATGACCTGAATTAGTATAATTCATGCTTCTATTACATGTGTATTTAAACTTTTAATTTTCCATTATCAAAAATGTGAAAATTTGGGTAAAAAAGAAGATTTTTCAATTTTCCTTGATAAAGTGAAACCGTTGCCATGGCAACAAAAATATAAAAATCAACGTTTTACATATCTACCGATTCCATCAAAATCCATGAAGTTATTAATTTGATCATTTTCATTAATTTGAACTGAAAAAATATGTATGTCCCCAATATTATTTCCATGGAAACAGTGGCTATATTATGGGTTCAGAACATAAAAATTAGGCTTTTTCTACACTTTTAAAGACAACATTGATATCACTTTGTCATGGTGAATGTTAAAGACTATATGTTATTTTTGATATTGTTTTAGGCATAAATTGGCCAAAAATATTCAAAATAAAACTCCTCCTGTGCTACATGATGGTCTAAAAATTTATTCCATAGAACTCTTGTATTTATGGCAATCTTTACATCTGCATATTCTGATGAAATTGTCCATGAATTATACTGCAACACCTCTAGAAGTACATGTATATGTATATAAACATACTTCAGAACATGTTGCAACTAAACCAATTAAAAGCCTATTAATTTGACCTCATGCTGATTTAGTTATTCCAACATGTAGTAACTTCTAGACATCTTTGTAGCAAAATATATCTTTATTCAGTTATGGCTGATGACTGTCATTATACATGTATGCCATTTTTTGAGTGAAATGTTTTAAGCATTGCATCCACGAAGCTGCTGTTTTTATAATTAAATGATTTCTTTACTTCGAAGAGTAGAAATGCTATCTTTAAAGTAATGTTTGTTTGCCCTCTCTTGACTCAGGGTAAAATTATTGGGTCGGTAGGTGAGAAAATCTTCAACAACATTTTTTAAGGGGGATAAGAGGAATAAAAAGAAAAAAATACGGCCCTGCATTGAAAAAAAGTTTTCAGTCTGGTCAATTTAGTCAGTCGGTCTGGAGAGGCCGACAACCAAACATTTTTTAAAGATGGCCTATTTCTACACTTCATGGACATTAGCTCAATCATTGGATTAGGTAGTCTGAGAATTTAAATTGAAATATCAGACAGAACAAAATAAAGATGAATTCTAAGTGACATCAATTCATACTTTAATAAGTTTACAGAGTACTTCTGATTTCAGAGAAAAGGCAAATTCTGCAAAATGACATAACACTGTCATAAATATTTGTCAAGAACAGGGAAAAAGAAACAATGCTACAGTGATAGATATTTCTCCTTGATATCCATGAAATAATAATTTAAATATAACAAAATTTTCTCCTTTTTAAAATCAAAATACAGAAAAAAAAATTAAAAGATTATAAATGTAAACAATTTTAAAATAAACTACATGTATTTGTGAAAGATTTTAATTTTAGTAGATTACTAAACTGGTCTTATCATTCCTACTAAATTAACAACCTTACAATTTCCAAGTGTCATGTTTTAAACTGTTACAGTAGATATAATTATACATGTTCACAGTTCACTGCAGCTTTATGTACAAAACTCATCAGTTTTCAGAAATACTTATTTGAGCATATTAGGTCCTGGTAAGAACAAAATTTAATGAATAAAAAAATTAATCTTATTTGTTCATGTATTAATTTCCTTGCAATTTTACAAACCCTTTTAAGAAACTTGTTTCATGTGCGTATAGACAAAAGCAACCTTCAATTAATACCTATGATGTATACATTTATTTTACTGAAAACAAATTCAAAGATGGACAAACAGAGCATGCAGTGCAATCATCACATACACATATTTTCTAAATATATGGAAAACAGCATGTATATACTAGATAGGATGTTGTTAAACATTAAATTTTCTTCTATAATCTATAGACATATAAAAATATGCATTGGGTATAACAAGTCAGAAGTTCTTCTCCAAATCTCCATTGAATTTGCCATGTCTGGTTCAACATCTTAGCTTGATCCATCCAACTTTCTTTTATATTCTTGAGCTGATATGGGATGACCTCTACTTTGATTGATGGCACAAATCTTTTAAGGAAACACTGAAGTACTTTTTTTGGTTCTTATCTATTCCAGTTAATGACTCATGATCTGAAATCATATGTGATCATTTTTACAAAAACATTTAAGGAATTGCATTTTTGGAATTTCATAAGGAATTGCACTGAGTTTCATTCACTCAATGAAATGAATAAACTTCCAATGAAGAATCAATATGAAATTATTGTAAAATTTACAGATTGAATTAGTGAAATGCAAATGCTTGATCAAGAAAATTAATGTTCTTGTCATGCACAATCTGTATATCTCTTTTTTATTAATTAGAAAATAAGATATTAATTAAAATCAAACCTCATTTAAAAAGGTAACTTGAACAATTGAATACCTGTTCCAATAATGTTACAAATATCAGGCCTAAAAAGCAAGGATTTTATTTTTCATAATTTCTTGAATGAATGCATTTTTATTTTTTGGCAATGTTGGGATATTAGTCACATCCTGACATCCTTGTACCGTTTATTCATCGTTTTTAAATCCGTAGTCAGTAGATCATTCATAACTTTCAGTAAAATGAATAGTTAAATAATTACCTGATGAAAATACTATCAACAATCAAACTGTCAACATCATCATTGGACATGGTCAAATGCACCGTGACTTTTCTTCCCTGTTCGGACTGCATATAGCATAATACTTTACAGGATACTCTCAGGTCTTTTCTTTATTCTTTCCCATTGTCACTTAAAACTTTAGCGAGAAACACACAACAGTACAATGCGTCAACGACTTTCTTCGGAATAGCCGTGTAACTTGCCACGTTCCGTATCGAAAATAAACAAGTCCTCCTTTATTGGTTCATCCACATGCATCACGCTAATCTCAAAGGCTTCTAAGATTCCTATGCTTTGATTTGTTATAAGACTTTCCCCCTCAAAACGTCCTTTGTTTTTAGTCATAACAATAAGTGACAACAAACATCAAGTATGACAGAGGAAATTCGTTACCGAGATGCTTAGCATCGCTGGTTTAAATTCACCTGTTTCAAACGCTTTGGTGATTCGACCAGGTGTGTTATAGGACCGACGACATTCAAAAATGTGAATCAATGCTTTAATATACAATCAATTAATCCATTTGAACAAAAAAACACTTTAATGCGCATCATTGTATAACGTACCACTAGGCATTTTATTTTTAAGGCGGCGATTGTATGGAATACAGCTTACAAAACAAAGGTCCCTGTATTCATGGTGGACAGCTTACCTGCAAAGAGACTGGCCCTGATGTGGAGGCACTAAATATCAGGTGTGATTGTCCACTTAGATTCGAGGGGATGTTCTGTGAAAATAAAATGGAAAAGGTACCTATAATTGAAAACTGACGTTGAAATAAAATCAGAGATAATATGTATTTTTTCTTCACACACTGGAGTATTATACGTATAATATTATAGGTTACAAGAATTTGTGATAGAAATGAAAATGCATCGTCTCTTAATTACCTGCAGAACTGTGATAGAACAAAAATGGACTGCATTACTTACAGTGAAAATAAACGATATACTTTCAAGTGTACTAAAAAATCTGCGACAATCCTACGAGGAAAAGGTAATAAAGATACAATGTTAGAATTTAAGAACAATTGATCAAAGGTAAACTGATATATTATTACAGAGTGAAGAATTTATATATTTTTTTCTCGCAGCTGAATTGCCAATCTGTAGAGAAACAGAAATAAATACCACAGAGTTGAATGCAGCGATAACTCCAGAGGGTGACATCAGACTGACCAATCCTCAATACACATCAAGAGGCAAGTCATTGACACCTACTCTTTCATTCATTTTATTTCTTAGGGAATACGAACTGCTGTAAATTGGAAAAGTATTCCATTTAACCATTTATATCGCACGAATTGTAAGGTTCTTAGAAAGTTAAGATATGAATACCGGGTAATTTTTATTTGATTTTACAAAACCGGCCTATTTTCATTTTAACTTTAAAAATTTTGAACAGTTGGTGCTTAGACCTTCATTAACAGTACTGTACATATTGTATAACTTTTCCCCACTGAAATTACTTCATAGTAGTTTTTTCCTATGGAAATCCCACACCAGATTTAATTTTCCGGAGAGAAACCTTCTCTTGAATTAGCTATATAGAGTCCGATTTCATACAGAAACAATACATCCCCCGTAAAATATCATACCTGTACTTTTTATAAATAAATTGTAAAATTAATCTGTAAATTTTACAGATTAAAGTGTAAATTTTACAAAATAAAGTGTAAATTTTACACTTTAATCTGTGAAATTTACACTTTAGCCCCCCCTTATTTTTTTTAATTGCAAATATATACAAAATATATGCATTGACAATTGGTTTTTTGGGGGGATTTAGCCCCCCCCCCCCCTTTCAATTTGCTTCAGACGCCTATGAATCATGCTTAATAAAATTTAACTCTGATTTTGTATTTAACAATAAATGCAAATAATAAGCAAGTTAACTAATGCGAATTAAATTGCGTTCACACGACAGCTAATGCGAAGTAAACTAATGCGAATTAAAAATCTACTTCTACAGCCAGGCGTCATTATTGCTATTATGACGTCATTTGCAAATCACGTCACCTTATGCAGGAGCAGATGCATTTGACATAATGTTACAGTGTCTGTACACACATTTTAGTGAATAACACAGTTTTCCTTAGTTTTTCACTCAAAAATAGCACAAATACTTCAATTTGACCACGGACATGTAGCATTTGACCTAATTTTGCCATTACGCATGCCTCAAAATCTAATTCGAATTAGCTTCGCTTGGAGTTCACACGGAGCTAATGCGAAGTAATTTAATGCGCAGTAATGCCCTGTTCACACGGAAAGTTTAATTCGAATTAAACGTAAAGTTACTGCGAATTAGCTTCGCTTAGCGTTGACACGGAG